CTCGCGGCCGAATGTGCCCTGGAAGCCTCGCACGCCTCCGAGACCTATTGAAGGATGAACCACATAGGGTCAGAGATGGCCACCTTGGCCTTAGTAGAGCTCACCTTAAGTCGAATGTCAATGGGGGGGGGGGGGGGGGGTTAGGTTCCCAGGCCGTACATTAGGAAGAAAGGCGAATAACCAGTGGAAACATGGGGGGCCATTCTGTAGGCCGCCAGCACCCCAGGGATGCGCAGATCTCAATCTTTTTGTGACTCATTGACCTGCTGACTCACCATCACAACCAGAGTCCTATTAAGCCTCTCCACCATCCCATCTGTTTGGGGATGGTAGGGCGAGGTGCGAACCTTCTCGGTGCCCAGAAGATTGCACACCTCCTTCAGCAGGCTGGCAGAAAAATGTCTCCCTTGGTCAGTAGTCACTCCGGGGTCCCCTTGTCCAATACGCACCCGTGCAGGAACGCCTCGGCAATACTGACGGCTGTCTGATTCGGAAGCGGCCAAGCAACCGGTCATCATGAAAAATATTCAACACCCACAAGTAAGTATTTGTTTCCCCGTGCTGTAGTGGGGAAGGGACCTACTATAGCAAGAGCCACAAGCTCATTAATGCAAGACACCTTAATTGACTGCAAGGGTGGGCAGCATTTAACGGGCGGCAGCTTTTTGGCGTGCACACTGCGTGCAACCATTGATGATATTCGCGACGTCCGCCGCCATGCCGGGCCAAAAATAATCGAGTTTAAGGGCGGCAAGCGTTTTATGCATCCCCAAATGTATCAGCCGCTCATGAACGGCCACGACAAGCCAGCCTCTGAGGCATGTAGGCACCACAATGCTGTAACTCTGCAGCCCGCCATCCCAACACATTAGGAAGCCCCCTTTGAGGACCACTGGAGCAACCCTTCGCCGGCCTATGATATCCCCAAGCACACCAACACGGCGGCGCATTCTTAGGAGGGAAGCGTCCTCACCCTGGAGGCGCCCCCACTTGGAGTGGTGCAACCCCAAGGCAGCATCACAAGGGACGGAGGTATCAGGGGAGAGGAAGACTGAGCGTCCGGAGACCTACAGCGGAGCGAACCCAATAGACAGGCACAATGGCCGACCGGGTGAGGCCGCGACAGCGCATCAGCGTTAGTGTGCCGCGTCCCCTTACAATGCTCGGAAAGAATAATCCTGAAGGAATTCCAACTAGATTGACAGCTGTCCCGACGGTTGGTCAACACGCAAAGCGTATTGGAGGGCAAAATGGTCGGATCGCACCTCAAAAGTTCTGTCATATAGATAGGGCCGGAACTGCTGTACGAAAGATACAATGGCGAGCAGTTCCCGCCACGTTACACAATAACGCTGCTCGGCCGGCTCCCGTATGCCACCAATCTTTCAATGCCGTTCACCACCTGTGACAACACAGCACCGATGCCCGTATTGCTGGTGCCCCGGTGAACGATGACTACCCCAGATCCTGCAGAGGAGCGGCTGCTGCGGTGTGGGCGAGTCGGTGCCCGGTGCTGCTGGTGCGTGGAGCAGCTGTGTGCGGTGCTGCCATGCGGGCGTGGTAGTGACCGAGACTGCTGGTGAGTGGAGTCGCTCAGAGCGCTGTTGAGATCAACCAACCAAGTCACGAGTCTGCGGCTGCGTGGATCCATTAAAGGGCGCCGTTGTGTGTGCAAGCCAAGGTTGAGGTTGATGCTGCGTTGAATCCTGAGAGTGCTGCACTACCGTTGGGTCCTGGTGGGGATCCCTGAGGCTGCAAGCGACCTCGTGAGTGAATGTTGCGCACCAAGCTGGTGGGCTTCTGCCGCGTTGCCTCGTCACCCGGGAGCGGAGCGCGCGTCAGGGTTGTGGTGCGAACGGTCGCCGCGGAGTTCTGCGATCATCGACGCGCCAGTGGTCTTACGGGGTTATGTAAACGTGCACTGTTACTGTTGTCGAGAGTTTCAAAGAATTGGTTGCACTTGGTTGTCAATAAATGATTATCCTCCACAGTTGGTTCACGTCCTTGAGCAAAGTATTTCAATAGTGCATGACTAATCAACATATGGTTAATAAATTCCAAATCTTGTTAAGATTCTCGGTATTCCTGATCGAGTTATTGTCCTTTTTGTCGCCGTTAAAGTAATGTTGAAAAACCCGTGATGGTACCTTATAACAAAGTTATTTAGGGAATTGCACGGCAAAGAAAATGGATCCTAATTCATTTCCCTCTCTCCCACGTAAAAAAGAGCGACCCTCACAATTAGCATGGCTGCGATAGCGATTCAGGTCCCATTTTGTGGCTGCTCACCCAGAGCTAAAAATGCCCTGATAGTGCATTGCCTTTGCACTTTCGCCTTTTGGCGTTCTCTGGTCCGACCAATATGAGACTAGGCTCGAAGAAAAGCTGTCTCGGGTGTGGACCAATCAACTTCAAGGACAGTGCACATTATCAGAGTTATGTTCTTTTGTTTGTATTATGACTGCAGGTATTGCGGTCTATGCAAACATGACTCCTTGCAAAAAGGTGTCAGTTTTGTTGCCAGATAGAAGGGTAAAAAACCAATTATCATATTTTTACTGGCAAATGAGGTCCCCATAGTGTAGATGCTTGCCCCGAGCTCTCATACTCTGATGGTGCATTGTCCTTGAGTTGTGCGCCTTTTGGCGTCATCTGGTCCAACCCATATGAGACTAGGCTCGAAGGAAAGCTGTCTCGGGTGTGGACCAATCAACTTCAAGGACAGTGCACATTATCAGAGTTATGTTCTTTTGTTTGTATTATGACTGCAGGTATTGCGGTCTATGCAAACATGACTCCTTGCAAAAAGGTGTCAGTTTTGTTGCCAGATAGAAGGGTAAAAAAACCAATTATCATATTTTTACTGGCAAATGAGGTCCCCATAGTGTAGATGCTTGCCCCGAGCTCTCATACTCTGATGGTGCATTGTCCTTGAGTTGTGCGCCTTTTGGCGTCATCTGGTCCAACCCATATGAGACTAGGCTCGAAGGAAAGCTGTCTCGGGTGTGGACCAATCAACTTCAAGGACAGTGCACATTATCAGAGTTATGTTCTTTTGTTTGTATTATGACTGCAGGTATTGCGGTCTATGCAAACATGACTCCTTGCAAAAAGGTGTCAGTTTTGTTGCCAGATAGAAGGGTAAAAAACCAATTATCATATTTTTACTGGCAAATGAGGTCCCCATAGTGTAGATGCTTGCCCCGAGCTCTCATACTCTGATGGTGCATTGTCCTTGAGTTGTGCGCCTTTTGGCGTCATCTGGTCCAACCCATATGAGACTAGGCTCGAAGGAAAGCTGTCTCGGGTGTGGACCAATCAACTTCAAGGACAGTGCACATTATCAGAGTTATGTTCTTTTGTTTGTATTATGACTGCAGGTATTGCGGTCTATGCAAACATGACTCCTTGCAAAAAGGTGTCAGTTTTGTTGCCAGATAGAAGGGTAAAAAACCAATTATCATATTTTTACTGGCAAATGAGGTCCCCATAGTGTAGATGCTTGCCCCGAGCTCTCATACTCTGATGGTGCATTGTCCTTGAGTTGTGCGCCTTTTGGCGTCATCTGGTCCAACCCATATGAGACTAGGCTCGAAGGAAAGCTGTCTCGGGTGTGGACCAATCAACTTCAAGGACAGTGCACATTATCAGAGTTATGTTCTTTTGTTTGTATTATGACTGCAGGTATTGCGGTCTATGCAAACATGACTCCTTGCAAAAAGGTGTCAGTTTTGTTGCCAGATAGAAGGGTAAAAAAACAATTATCATATTTTTACTGGCAAATGAGGTCCCCATAGTGTAGATGCTTGCCCCGAGCTCTCATACTCTGATGGTGCATTGTCCTTGAGTTGTGCGCCTTTTGGCGTCATCTGGTCCAACCCATATGAGACTAGGCTCGAAGGAAAGCTGTCTCGGGTGTGGACCAATCAACTTCAAGGACAGTGCACATTATCAGAGTTATGTTCTTTTGTTTGTATTATGACTGCAGGTATTGCGGTCTATGCAAACATGACTCCTTGCAAAAAGGTGTCAGTTTTGTTGCCAGATAGAAGGGTAAAAAACCAATTATCATATTTTTACTGGCAAATGAGGTCCCCATAGGTCCTATTTTGTTATTTTTTCGCACGCTGATGTTGATGTGTTACAGTCACACTACCCCTGGGGCGCCTGCCCCCCGCCTACATGAGCGGGTCACGGTGCCTGGTTCAGCAAAGGGCCTCGCCCGGTGGTTTGTGGCTCCACCAGCTGGACCCTGAGCCCCAGGCACGTGACCGATTTAAACACGGCAACTCCCACCGGTGTCTCACAGCTCGACTACTGGAACGCGACTTTGAGACAGGAACAAATTATTTTCATGAAGTAGTTTAAAGTGTTAAACTTAAAACTAAAAAAATGAGGCTGAAAGACGAAGATAACAACAACAATCTCGTGGAGTAGAGCGGCATGAAGCAACGAGTTTATTCGCAGCGTTCCCCTGCCAGTTCAGTTGAGACGAGTTGAGGTGAGTTGAATTGGTGAGGTGAGTTGAGGTGAGTTGAAGTGACTTGAGTTGAGGTGAGGTGAGTTGAGGTGAGGTGAGTTTAGTTGAGGTGAGGTGAGTTGAGTTACGATGGGGTGAGGTGTGTTGAGGTGAGGTGAGATCAGGTAAGGTGAGTTTAGCTGAGGTGAGGTGAGGTGAGTTTAGTTACGATGGGGTGAGTTGTGGTGAGGTGAAATGAGGTGAGGTGAGTTGCGATGAGGAGAGGTGAGTTACAATGGAGTGAGGTGAGTTGAGGTGAGTTTAGTTGAGGTGAGATGAGGTGAGTTGCGCTGAGGTGAGTTGAATTGTGATGAGGTGAGTGAGGATGAGGATTTGAGACGAGGTTATCTGAGTCTTCTTTTTTAAGCCACCCCTGGAGTGGAGACGTCTGTACTCGCTCACACGTCAACACATTCCAGGGCACGCCTCGTGATATGCAAATCAAACTGAAAGACTTTCTACTTCCTTGTTGCCCATTTACGTGGCTTGTTACTCGTTTAGCGTCTCAGATGCAGCCAGCGACTGTCTGAGATATAGACAGAGACTGCCTGAGATACAGAGACTGCCTGAGCTAAAGCTAGTGACTGCCTGAGCTACAGTCAGATATTGTCTGAGCTACAGCCAGAGACTGCCTGAGCTCCAGCCAGTGCCCATCTCTGAGTGGAGTCACAGGGCATGGCGAGTGCGGCTTCCAGTGGTAGCGAGGCTCCAGGGGAGTTGACCTGCCCCATCTGCCTGGACGCCTTCCGCTGCCCCTGCACGCTCAGCTGCGGCCACTCGTTCTGCCTCAAGTGCGTGGAGGGCGCCTGGGATGTGACTAAGTCCTTCTCCTGCCCACAGTGCCGAGTGACCTTCCCTCGGAGGCCCAAGCTGAGCAAGAACGTGACGCTCACCAACCTCATCGAGCAGCTGCGAGTGGCTGAGCCCGTGGCTGCCGATGCTGCTGCTTCTACTGTTTGCTGCGATCATTGCAGGAAGCCCGCAGTGAAGACCTGCCTCAAGTGTGAGACGTCGTTCTGTATGACCCACGTCGCGCCCCACCTAAAGCTGGCAAAGTTTAGTGACCACGTCCTGGTGTCGCCCGGTGTGAACCTGGAGAATCGACGGTGCGCGGAGCACGGAGACGAGTACCGCTTCTACTGCGTTAACGACGGACTCCTCGTCTGCAGGGACTGCACCGTCACTGTGGATCATCGAGGGCACGAGCTCGTCACTCTGAAGGTGGAGCACGACAAAAGAAAGGTGAGGAGGAGATTCTCACGGTCACCACGTAGTACCCATGATACCGCAGCATCAGCTGATGAACTCTGTCATTGGCTCTCAACAGCAACATCTAATTATAACAAAACCACAGCGAGTGGCTCAGACTCATTTTAAAGTGGATTACATATTTTACATGCCCGTGCATTTATTTTTCAAACGAGTGTTTGAAGAGTAGATTCATAGTACAGTCGACCCTTCTGCATCGCGACTTTCCTCGTCGCGGTTTCGATATATCGCGGTGTCGTCATAAGAAATGAAATGGGCATTTTTTGGGAGTTTTTGGGAGTTTTGCGAAAGCCGCAGACGACACGCAAAAAGTTTAGTAACTAATAAATTCATAAATTATATGTACAGTACTGTTTAATATTAATGTATTACATTTTTTAACTAGCTTGTTTGTCCAAGGACAGGTGTATATTGCAGTAAATCTGAAATATTCAATAGAAAAATTGTTCTGCTCATGATTATTAATGAGGGCGGGGGTTTGCCCCATGTGGAGTGATGTAACCCGCTAATGGTTATTGGGGAGGGGTGCGGCATGTGGAGCGACGTAATCCGCTCATGATTATTAATGAGGGAAGGAGTGCAGCATGTGGAGTGAAATCACCCATTCATGATTATTAATGAGGCAGGGGGAGTCCATGTGGAGGACCCACCTGGCCATGAATATTAATGAAGGGGGGTTGACCTCATGCGGAGTGACGTCACGCGCGGGACACACAGACATTCTTGGCTCATTTTAGAAGAATATACCATAAATATAAAATAAGTTACATTTCTTAAAAAGTTAGTTTGCGAAAAGAACTGCGGTTCTATGTGCTGGTTTGGAGAACACCAAGTGTGTTTACGGCAGCCTCTCACGTGATATCTCGCAGTGATCTCGCAGTGATCTTTATATCTCGCGTTTCTCGTATCTTTTTGTACCACTTCGCTTACCAAGGGGACCAAAACATTTTACGCGGTTTATCCAGATCACGGGGGGCCTGCACCCCTAACCCCCACGATGTGGAAGGGTCGACAATATACAAGCATCAGGGTCGGGTTCGAACTCACAACCTCCTATATAGCAGGCAAGGCAGATAACATCTCACCACTCTGGTGCCCTGTCCACCCACTACTCATGTAGCCCCACCCACCACTCCCGTAGCCTCGCCCACCACTCTGATAACCGCTCATTACTCAGGTAGCCCCACCCACTACTCAGGTAGCCCCACCCACTACTCAGGTAGCTCTGCCCACTGCTCAGGTAGCTTCACCCACTACTCAGGTAGCTCCACCAACTACTCAGGTAGCCCCACCCACTACTTAGGTAGCTCTGTCCAATACATAGCAAGCCCTGCGCACGTTTGAGCGCCTCGTGAAATTAGTTGCCTGCAGCGCTTGCTCCCCCAGCCTCCATCGCTGCACCGGGGCTACTGCCCCCGTCACTGTGGAGGGGTTCGTGTGGAGTTGGGGTGAGAGGGGACGCTTAGAGAGTGAGTGGAGTCTCCCCTGGTGACGTCTCTCACAGAAACAAGTGGGAGAGGAGACGCGGGCTGTGGAGGAGAAAAGGAAGGAGGCGGAGGAGTCCGTGAGGCGGATGGAGGCCGCTCGTAGGGATGTGCAGGTACCGCGTCTGGGCCAGACTCTGTGACCCCGTGACTCCACCCTGAGTAGGGTTTGTGATGGAGAACAACTCAATTCATTCACGTGGACTTCCATTGGCTCTAAACACATTGTGGGACTAAAGAAACAACGGTTAATGCACCTCAATAATCAGGACGAGCAAAGAGGTGTTTCTCATCTCCACTGAGAAACTGAATCAGTGGTGGAAATTCCACATTCCCATATCTCCATACAACTTACCACTTCAACGACTGTTAACTATATTGGTCAGATGAGGTGGTACGTACCTCTTATCCAATACTCTGGTGGCAGAGTTGGTGATCACACACAGACTGTTGTACACCATCATACTGACATCACTCAAGCTTTGAGGTGGCCTGGTGGCAGTATAGCAATTGATTTCATGATCCCCTCTCTTCAGCCATACATGTGGTTTTCTCTCACATTCATAACATTAATTTTAGGAGGAATTGGCCTAACTTCCCATTTCATTAAGGCTCTTTACAGATTTCCCTTCGCTTCATGCGAAGGTAAACAAAGCATCGTCCTGATAACCTTGCACAATGATAATGGCATGGATGCTAAATGTACTCATGATGGTATTTGATGATTTCATTGCCTCACAGCCCCCGCCAGTTATGGCGAATTGTGTTGAAGTGAAAATGCACAGTGGCGTTATCAGAGGCAGAGGAAGAACAAGGCCTCAGTGCTGCAGACTCGTATCACTGTCTGGACACCTTAGAGTTGCACTCGGGTCATTTTACAAAGGACCAGAGGTGGCATTTATTTCTCTTTGCAGGGATCCATGACAGATGAAAAGGCCTCAATCTCGGTCACATTCGCCCGCACGAGAGTAGCGTTGGATGTGGAGGAGAAGGCGGCTTTAGAGCAAGCGGAGCAGAAAGGGCGTGACCTGCTGTCCCAGATGTTGCAATCGAAACGTCGTATGCAATTATTTAATTTATTATTTTATTTTTATACGTGACTTTACCGAAAAAACCAAAGAATAACTTTAGAACACTTCCTGTGTGAGTTATTCAGTGTGAATCATGGGTGATGGAGCCATCTTGACAAGAAATGATCCCGTGTGTGTGCACGAGGTCGGCTTAGCCTCAAATAATTACCTGGAGTTGTATAAACATCACCACTAGGGAGACAAAGGCGACCAGGCGTAGTGCAGGCCACGCACCCCTCGTGTGTCGTGCCAGCCTTCAACGGTTCTCATTTGCCCCAACAGTCTGACAAGGCTACACGGAGGATGTCTTTGTTTACATCCTGGAACCTGATGCGGTGTGTAAACAAAATCGCCACGAGCGAGACAAAGGTGGTCGGACGTGGTGCTGGCCACCCACCTCGTGTGCCATGCCGGCCTTCATTGAGAAACACGGACAGCACTTGTCCCAATCGTCTGTGACGGCTACACAGGGGATCTCTGTCTTTGTTCACAGTCCATTCCAGGACCCTACTGAACAGAGCCATGAGACTCAGTGTGGTGTTCTTGTGTAAATAATCAGCATTACGAGTCAGGGGTAATTGTGATGTTGAGATGGAGTGTGTGCCTGTGAATGTGTCTGTGCATTTGTGCATGAGGGGAGCGGTGGCATAATGGTTAGAACACTGCACTACGACCTCAGTTACCTGAGTTTGTTTCGAATTAAAGCTTTCGTTACTGCAGGGATTCATCTTCTTGGTTCTTTCGGAAAAGTCACGTAGAAGGGAAGTAATAAAATAATAAAAATAAAACATAATAAAATAATTCTCACGACGTTTCGGCCACAACGCAAGCAGCCGTCCTTCTTCACCTGAGGACGGCTGCTTGCGTTGTGACCGAAACGTCGTGAGAATTATTATATTATGTTTTATTTTTTTGGTGACTTTCAGACCGCAGTCCACTCACTGGCATTGACTATATATCTTGTATTCTCTGCAGGGAATGGAGTCTTTGCTCCGCTGCAAGTCTCCTTCCACCACTCTCCCATTGACATATTTCTTTGCTTCCTCTTAGTACCTTTCACGCGACGGTCAATGGTATAGTGTATAGCAGATTGTATAATAATAAATAGTATAAAAGTGTAATGTTTAACATAATGTATAAGGTAATATATAGTATCGTAATTGTATAGTGAATATACAGCAGTGTGGTATACAGTAGGGTGGGTAGAATAATACATAGTGTAATATTACAATGTATAGTCTAAGGTATAGGGTGGTGTATAGTAATGCAGTGTATAATTTAATGTTGGGTTTCTCTATGGCAGTATATAGTACGGGGTACATCCGTGTGATGTAAGAAAAAGTTTAGCTGGAGGAATATAATTTTTTTTGCGACGTAGAATTGTAATGTATGACTTACTGTTAGTAGCTCAGCTTATTGGAGAGTATATTGAGTATAACGATGATATTGATGTAGTTTATATTTTAGTTTTTTTTTTACGTGGTGGTTTGGCTGCTGCAGCTCCTTACTATTAAAATTCCTTCCCTTTATTACTGCTAATACTACTTCCTCCCTTTATTACTGCTAATCCTGCATAATATACGAGCATAATATGACTTTGAGACCCCCCCCCCCCTTCACCTACACATTCCACAAGTAGTGACTAATCCCATATCTTCATTTTCCATAAATATGCTAAATTCATGTTGTTATGCAAATTCCTTTGTCAAGGCTCCCTCCTCTAACCCAGCTTAAATATATGCTGCCAAGCTTTTTGGTGTTCATTCAGACGCTGTCTTTCCGACAGCCCTGTTCTTCACCTGAGGACGGCTGCTTGCGTTGTGGCCGAAACGTCGTGAGAATTGTATTTTATTATGTTTTATTTTTATTATTTTATTATTTCCCTTCTACGTGACTTTACCAAAAGAACTAAGAAGATGAATCCCTGCAGTCACGAAAGCTTCAAATCCAAATGATGCTGATGTTAGTGATAATGTGAGTGATGGGAATGGTAATGGGTTTGGTAATGGTGTTGGTCGTGGTGATGGCAGTGATGGTCGTGGTGATGGTAATGATGGTGACATTGGTGATAATATGGTGGTGATGGTTTTGCTGATGGCGCTGATGGTAGTAGTGATGATATTGGTGATGGTGGTCATGGTAGTGATGATGGTGATGTTGGTTTTGATGGTCGTTGTAATGGTGATAATGATGCTGGTCGTGTTGGTGATTTTGGTGGTAGTGATGAAGATGGTGGTGATGGGGATAGTTGTGATGGTAGTGATGGTGGTGGTGATTTTTAGTGATGGTGCTAGTTGTGGTGATGATGGTTGTGTTGTTGCTTACTGCGATAGTGATGTAGATGTTCGTAGTGTTGATGATGGTGGTGATGGTGATGTTAATGTTGTTGTCATTGATGATATTGATGGTGAGGATGCTTGGTGATGGTGATGATGGAGGTGATGGTGGATGATGGTGATGATGGTGATGTTGATGGTGTCTAATGGTGATAACGGTGTTCTGTAGTGATGTTTTAATCGCTGTTGTCACAGACGGAAGCTCACCCACTCTGGACACAAACTCTGCTCATAACAAACTATAGATCTCCTCGGATCTCAGGACGATGACGCTGAAAGCTGCCTCCCAGGGTCGCCCCGATCATCCACACCGGTTTGATGGCTGTGCACAAGCCCTGTGCTGTGAGAGCTTCTCGTCGGGCCACCACTACTGGGAGGTGGACGTGAGGGGCTCGTCGCTGTGGCGGGTTGGAGTCGCGTACGGGACGATCTCACGGAAAGGGAGTAGTGATGCTACACAGCGGCTGGGAGGGAGCGATGCGTCCTGGTGTTTAGAGAAATTTGGCGACAACTTATCAGTGGTTCATGGTGGAGTGAAGACTGCACTGTCGGTGAAGGGGGCCCCCTCCCCCCGCAGAATCGGGCTTCACCTGCACTGGGAGGGGGGGCTCCTGGCGTTTTACCGCGCCGACTCCATGGAGGTGATTCACGAGGTTCGGCAGAGATTCTCGCAGCCTCTCTACCCTGGGATGTGGGTGAGGTGTTTGAATGATCGATTGAAGATCGTGGATCTGAGTCGTGCATCCTGAGGATGAAGAGAGATAGAAACCCAAGAAACCAAGATAGAAACCCAATAAACGGTGGAGAGGGGGGATGGTGAGGAGAGGGCGAAGTGAGAGTGAGGGGAAGGTGGAACGGAGGGTGAGGTAAGGTTCAAGTTCATTTATTAGGTATAGCCCTGTGAGACATTCGGCTCTTGAATCGGGTGCAACTGCAACAAACAAAAAACAAACAAAAATAACAAAAACATCTTAAAGTGAATACGTGACTGAGTGCAAACAGAAATCCAAGAAAAGACAGCAAAACATTGCAGAATAAAATCACCGTACACCAACGCTGTGTGGAAAAATCCCAGTGGGATGCAAGTCAAACCAACAACAACCACAAGACAACTTAGATTAAGGCCATCAGTCTAACTCTATACTACAACAAACAAACATGGCTAAACCAATAGACTTTTCGAAATCACCAAAATAAAGCAATGAAACAGTGATCATAGGAACTGTGACGGAATTTTCACAATAAATGGCATAAACAACATGTAACCCAATAAACGGTGGAGAGGAGGGATAGTGAGGAGAGGGTGAAGCGAGGGTGAGGGTAAGGTGGAACGGAGGGTGAGGTTAGATGAGGGTGAGGGGGAGGTGAAAATTGAGGGAAGGGAGAGGTGAGCATGGAGGGGTAGGGTGAGGGGGGAGAGTGAGGTTTAGGTTGGCGTGCGTGAGCGATGTCGCCGGTGCAGTTCAAATCGCAGGTTCGTGTGGCCGCTCCTTTACCTGTGTAATAAAGGACTCTTGCACCGGGTCTGTCTCCGTTGTCCTTTATTGGTTCGTACAATCTTGCCCGCACGGCGTCCTCGCTCAGTGTCTCCTTTCTCTCCCGCTCGGCAGCCACACCGCTGCCGTCGCTCCTGCAGCCCCGTTGCTGCTCCACCATGCAGTCCCACTGCTGCTCGTATGCAGCCTCGCTGCTGTCCGATCTGCAGCCCCACTGCTGCTCAATGTGCAGCAAACCGCTGCACGCTATGCAGCTCCGCTGCTGGCTCTCTGTCGCCTCTGTGCCCGGACACCGCTGGCCAACGGTGACGAGTCTCCGACTTGTGGCGATCGCGCCACATTCCTCCTCCTCCCCCGCGTGGCCTCCTCCTCTCTCTATTCCGACTCTCTCCCTGAACTCTTCCGGTTCCTGTCCTTAAAAGCTCTCTCTCCACGTAACCCTAACTCCTCCCACTTGTTACGTCACATCCAGCGAGCCCGTTTACGCTCGCATTACACCTGCAGTGCGCGCTCACGTCACCACGCCTCCTCATCCCTGCGATTCACCATCAGCACCATCGTCACCATCACCAACATCACCATCACCCCATCATCATCACTATCAACAACTACAACCGCCATTCGCCACTAAGTGGCGGTGACGTCAGCACGACGCTTGTGCCAGGCCATGTGCACCTTGAGGCCACGTGAAGTGTCGAACGCCCGCTGGCAGGAGGTCACTGTGCAGACCCAGATGCCACGGGTCGACTGACTGAGACGACTGGCTGATGCACCACCTGTGCCCCCTACTGTGCCAACTTGCTGTGCTTTAGCCACCCGGCACTCCGCTTGTTGTTGTGAGCGTCACTCCTCCGCCCTCCGTTGTTGTTGGAGGGCAACTGCCTCCAACTGCCCAGCAGCGTCCTTCACGAGCCTCCTCCACAGAGGCCGATCTTGACACCGCTGGTTCCAGTCATCGGCAAGTCCACTCAGTTCCACATCCTCCTGTACCACATCACTCCTTCTCTTCTCTAGCCCGTGCCGCACCCGTTTAGCCCCCTCGATCCGGCCGAACAAAAGCTGTTTAGGCATGCAGTGGCTGGGCAGGCGGTCTACATGGCCCAGCCAACGCAGCCTTGCCTGCCGTAGGAGCTCAACGATGGGGCCTTGTCCAGATCTTTCAAGGATTTCTGACCAACTCACACAATCCAGCCTGGTTAAACCCAGGATGGATCGTAGGCAGGCCAGCCTAAATATTTGCGATTGGCGAAGATGCTCCATTAGGGGGGTCCACGTTTCGCAAGCGTAGAGAAGGAAGGGAATGACTGTGGCCGAGAAGACCTGAAGCTTCGTGCGGAGCGAGAGACGCCACCTTCGTTGGTCGTAATATGCATCATGAGGGAAATGTGAGTATGAGGAAGACGACGTTTTTGCCACCCAATGGTGTGCAATGTACTGCTTGTCTATGAAAAGACGCCGCATCTCATGATGCGTACGACGACAAAAAATCCGCAGACTACCTGCTGGATCTCCTCTCTGTTTCAAAGAACAAATTTGACCTAAGGTCTTCGCTCATTAACCAGCTTCACATTCCCTATTGCCGTACAAATACTGGAGCAAGTGCCTTTGTTATTAAAGCCCCCAGGGTCTGGAATGCTATTTCCAATTAACTGCAACTTGAATCACTACCTATGAGATCTTCACTCATAACTGCTCTAAAGGAGTTGTACAACCCTAGCTGCCACTGCTATTCAGTGGCCTGAAATCAAATGTATCGCTACGGATGACCGCTGCAAAGTAACATCTTGTGTTTTGATTATAGTGTGCTAATCTTTAAAGATACATTGAAAATGTTTGATATTCCTACTGATACTCCTGCTGTTATGCAGTGACTCATGCAGCCAGCTATGGTTGCAAAGTTTGCTCGTACATGTTATGTGTATCATTTATTGTTAAATTGGAATCACAGTTCCTTTGATCACTGTTACATTGTTTTTGTAGCTTTATTTTGGTGATTTCGAAAAGGTTCTGGTTTAGCCATATTTGTTTGTTGTAGTACAGAGTTAGACTCATAATATAAATTGTCTTATTGTTGTTTTTGTTTGACTTGCATCCCACTGGGATTCTTGCACACAGCATTGATATGCGGTGCTTTATCTAGGAGACTTTGCTGTTTTTTCCTAGATTTTTATGTTGCGCGTAATTACTTTAAAGATGTTTCTTCTTCATGTTGTTGTTTGTTGCGGTTGCACCCGATTAAAGAGCCGAATGACTCACATGGCTATACCTAATAAATGAACTGAACTGAAGTTAGCTCCCACACAGCGTTACGCAACCAATGAAAAGATAATGCCGCTTGACTGATTCGGAGTGAGACCTCTGCTGTTAAACCGGAGCCGGTCATGGGCACACTGCCCTGGTATAGGAAACTCTACACTCTCTCCACAACTGCCCCATCACCAATTGAGAGTTGTGGGGGTGGAGTATCCGATGGTACAACATACCCAGGCAGGTGCTTCGTTTTGGTGGGGCTGATGGTAAGACCCCAACTCCTGGTGGCACGCTCCAGGTTCAGCAGCAGCGCCTCCAACTCCTCCTCTGAGTGAGCAGCATTCACCAGATCATTGGCATACGTAACATGGTTGAGTAATAGGGAGTCATCCCTTGACCGCACCCGGGCATCGATCAGCCTCCCATTATATCTGTACCAGATGGAAATTCTTCCGGTACAGCTATTGAAGGCTTCACGAACTACGTGGTCAAAATAGATGTTAAATAATGTGGGAGCAAGAGGACTCCCTGTCGCATCCCAAGGTGTACAGGAAATGGCTCTGACGAAGCAGCCTCGCTTCCTGCGAATCCTCGTCGCCGTGAGTGCCTCACCTGCCTCTCAGGCGTCTTTGTCTTCCTCACGACCCCCCCCCCTCGAGAGAGAGAGCGACAGGCAAAGAAGCCATCCCCCGCCGCCAAAAGGCCGAGGCGTTTAAATCACCCCCTGAGGCGAGGCCGCGAGAGACACCGCCCCTCAGATAGAATCCGTACCGGCCGAGGCGCGAGGTGCTCGGTAGGCCGGCCTAGGCCGATGCCGGTCACGCGCGGTAGGCGGCGGTGGGGAGGGAAATTGAAAACAACTTTAATAACGTTTCATTTAATATATACTCCTGTTTATATTTGTGTCTTTAAGTCGCGACGACGAGTTGGTGGTGGTGAGAGGTGGGGGTGTTTAAGCGGCTCGCTGCTGTTTGTAGACAATCTGTTAGTGGTAGGAACCTCCTGGTTACACCAGCCCACAGGGGATTATTGTGTCCGTCGTGCAGGGAGGCGCTGGGTGGGGATGGAGGGGAGGGTGGGGAGGGGTGGGGCTGGGTGGGGACGGTTGGGGCTGGGTGGGGAGGGTTGGGAGGGGCTGGGTCGGGAGGGTGGGGTGGGGAAGGATGGGGAGGGGCTGGGTGGGGAGGGGTGGGGAGGGTGGGCCTGGGTGGGGGGTGGGAGGGGTGGGGCTAGGTGGGGAGGGGCTGGTCACCCCGTGGTGCCCTTATAAAACTCAACGTTTAACCTACTCACGCCGGCTTGTGCCCGCCCTCACAGTCGGGCATATTTGCGGAATACACCACGCCGCCGTTGACCCTGGCCATTGACCGAGCAACCCAACGTTCCTACCAGCTCCCTCCGCAGGAATGTGTTGAGTGATTTGTTTACCTCTCCTGTACGCTGCCCCTCCCGTCGTGTCTTGTGCGCGCGTTGTGTGTTGTCACGTTCTGATCCCCGTAGCCCACGACTGGACATCTGTGATGAAAGAGCCTCAGAGATTTTCGGATTCCTCCTGCAGTATAAATACAGATTCTGGTGCTCACAGACCCACACAGAGACCATACAGAAACCCACAAAGACCCATACATAGACCCATACTCAGAGTCCTATAGAGACCCACAGATCCATCCATCGAACCACAGAGACCTATTGAGACCCATACAGAAACCCACAGAGACCTATTGAGACCCATACAGAAACCCACAGAGTCCCATACTCGGGGATCCATGCAGACCCACAGAGACCCATACTCGGAGACCCTAACACAAAGCCCCATACAGAGACCCACAGAGACCCATATAGACTCGCAGACACCTACAAAACCATAGAGACCCAAAGTCCCATAGTAACCCACACAGACTCATAGAGACCCATAGAGACCCACACTGTGATTGTGTTTGGTGGTTAATGGTTGTAGTTTGTAAGTGTTAAGTGTGGGGAGCGGTTGCGCGCACTGCGTCGAGGCTCACGACCAACATCAGTGGCGAGTGAAATCAGAACCGGGTCCTATGCCTCCCCTAGGTCGACTCGGACTCAAATCAGAACCTGGTGCGGTGTGTAAAAATCAGCGCTGGGGAGACAAAGGTGGCCGGGCGTGGTGCTGGCCACCCACCCCCTCGTGTGCCACAGTGGCGGCCTTCACAGGCGCTGCTGCTGCTCGCTACTAACAGCTCTTGCTCCTCCAGCCTGGGTGGGCTACACGGGGGAGCTTTGTCACATTGTAGAGACAGACAAAGCTCCCCCGTGTAGCCTCCAATAGACTCTAGGGGCAAGTGCTGTTCGCGAGTTGTAGCACCTGTGGCACACGAGAGAGTGGGTGGCCAGATCCACGCCCGGCCGCCTTTGTCTCCCCGGTGGCGATGTTCACTACACACCACTGCACCAGGTACTCATTTGAGGCTGAGTCGACCTAGGTGAGCCTCAGGACCAAATAATCGTCATCAGTGTTGGCCTTGAGCGAGAATCAAACTCGGGTCACCGGGTTCTTAGTGCAGCACGCTAACCACTACATTACAGACACAC